CATTTTTACATATATGGACTCTGCTCATCTATAGCTTTCTGTTGATATATATTTCATGACATATGGTCCAGTAGGGGCCAAGATATTGAGACATTTGTGTTGGGAACCAAACAAGACCACAGTTGGTGGCAGGGGAACGCTGAGCTGCGTTCCCCTGCCACCAAGTATGGTCTTGTTTGTTCTCAGCCACAGCTGCAACCCATTTTGCCCCCTGTTGGCTCATTCCTCACCACAACATAGGACATTTATATATGATTGGAAAGGGCCTTCTAATGTGCATCTAATGGTGGTACAATCATGGTTTTATATCAAATACACAAGCTTTAATGCACCAAACACTAATTGTTGCTGAAGGTCATTGCCAGATTGTATGCACACTACCTGGTCTTTATGCTCACTGCTTCATCTATCTAGCTTTATTATTATATTTCAGGACAATTTCATTATATTGGGCAGAAGATCATGCTGGCAATGCATTGAAGGAACTGCATTATCTGGACCTAAACATCCTTTTACTCCAATGTATGCCCTCAATTGGCACCCTATTGACCTGCAAACAACACCATTGTGTAGAGCTCAATTTTCTGAATCTGACAGTATATAACACTCAATATATTGCTCAGTAATACATTGATATAGACCCACTTCAATCCCCCATTAGTGACATATTGTCACCAAGTGTCACTTATAGGAATTTGTTTGGCTTTCAGTTCCCTCAGATGTGCTCACAACAGAATACAAACAACCCCATTATATTCTCCTGATCCATAGCTTCCTGGTGATACCACATTTGTTAGATTTGGTGAACATTGTGTGAGGTTGGCATACATAGAGACTTGGAGCCAAGCAGGTCACAGTAGAGTCACGTGACCGTGCCGCACGGCATACGCCTGGGTCGGATTTTCGACCCAGGCGTATGCCGGGCGGCAGAATTCAATCTCCGCTCCAATCTGACTAGCATCATTGACAAATGGGCTACAAAAGTGCAGATGGGTGGATTCCTCTGCTATCCCTTTGTCAAATATAGATGTGTTATATACCATCAGAAAGCTATATAAGAGCTCTACCTGATGGTGACAATCACAGCCTTTTATCTTATCTCTGTAGTGTTTAAATTCAAGACCTCCTGCAAATCAGAAGACTCAAACAGGTGTTGAGCCCACAATTCTGCCAATTGTGATGCTATGTACATTCTGTCTTCTGTAGTGTGTGTATTCCTATACGAAGGATGCTATTACAGTATACAATCATCCATCTAGTCAATGCTTGGCCTTCACAGCAGATAATCAACAAGTTGCAATAGAGCTATACAAAAATACACCAAATTGTGTTTTATGAGGTACCCTGGTTACCAATAAATAATGGTTTATGTACCATTGGAATTCGCTGGTTGAGCTCTATACAATGGAGGTGTTTTCCGGGTCATATATACCCTACATAATGTATCAATGGCCAACAAATGCGTTTTAAAGAAGGGTTGATAGGGCCTGATCCTATCGGCCAAATAAGCGCCCAAGACGTGATTTGGTGAAGTCCGATGGGTACTAGTAGATCACGCTGGGCCAGTGCGATCTACTAGCACTCGTGGTCCTGAGAACAATTCTATGAAAAGCAGCTGCTTCTTAGCCGTATTTCCCTTGCACTTTCACCAGTTCTCATCCATAAAGCACATATTATATATCATTAGAAAGCCCTTTACAAGCTCTACAACATGGTGTTGTTATGGTCCTGGTTGACGCAAATTTCTAGAATAGAAAAAGGAAATACCTCAATTTCAACCTTACAATGACAATATTTCCTTTGCTATTTCAACATTTCTCATCCATATAGCATATATATACCTCATCTAGAAGCTCTTTACAAGCACTGCATCATGGTGCTATTATGGCTTCCATTTGTTTCAAATTGCACTCTAAATTCAAGACATACCTCATCTTTACCCTTTTATGTATTCTAGGCCAGGATGCATGCATGAGTTCATTTCCTCAATTGCCTCAGTTCAGTGACTGACAATAATGGATGGAATGCAAAAACAGATTTCACCCTATATGTCAGTACATAACACCTCAACTGATAGCTGACTAGCCTCTTGTAGTGGCATATGGCATATAACTACTACTACCAGACTATAGCTCTGAAAGGAAACTAAGGGTGTAGTGCTTGAGCTACACTATATCATGTGTTAAAGTCATGTTTTGATACAGTGCATAGCCTATAGGCATATACAGTAGTGGGCAGTGAGGGGCACATGTGCTGTGCAAGGTAGGGTTACACAAGCACCCAGGGAGAGGCTTTACATATGGTAAGAGTTGTGATTAGAACTGATCTAAGGCTAACCCTAAGCTGTGCTATTGGAATCCAACCCTAACCCTGTGAACATTAAAAGATTTTGTATGTGGCGCCTATTTCAAAACTAACCTCTGATCAGCTGGGTTCCAAATTTTTTTCCCACGTACACGACTTGAGTTGGCAGGAAGGTCACCCCATAAGAAACGATTTCTTCATTCCTCATCAATCGTAATAATAAAGCTAGATAGATGAAGTAGTGAGCATGAAGACTGGGTATTGTGCATACAATCTGGCAATGACCTTCAGCCACAATTAGTATTCAGTGCATTAAAGCCTCTATATTCAGAATAAAACCATAATCATACCACCATTACGTGCACATATATAATTGTCCTATGTTGTGGTGAGGAATGAGTCAACAGCACGTAAA